ATTTTTTAATTACTTAAAAAGTCTTTAAGAGATCTTAAATGTTTTTAAATTCAACATGTTGCTTTCTTTTAAAGCATGGACAATTTATTTTATTTGACTTCTTCGTACTTCTGTTCTGAAAACAAAATATATATATCTTTGAGAATTTACAAAGAAATTGAATAGATTATAAACAGGGCAATAAATAAAATAGGGCTAAAATAATTAACGCGGTATATATTTTAGTTTTCTTGAGAGTTTAAGGGGAAAATAGAGAATAGTTAAACTTTCTTATATTATCCTTACAATTAGTTAAATACATATAAAACAAATTTTTAAATACAGATACATAATTATAATTATAGCATATAATTAAGAAGCCTACAAGAAATTCATAATTAATTTGTGCATGTTAGGTATTTATATAACTGGGATTCGAAGGATATGAATGAAATATTTAATTTGTTTACGTAACATGAATCTATCTTTCAAAAGATATAGACTCAGACCAAATAAAAAATAAAAGAAGAAGAAAATTTGAAATGTCTTAACATATTTTGGTCAAGAAAATGCCTTAACATATAAACTAGTGATCAGAAACTGTTTGTTATGCGACGTAGAAAATAAAAACGCGTAATTAAAATAGACTTTGTAATTCTTTTCCAAAAAGAAAAAAAAACAAAGACTTGTAATTGATTAAAGATTTATAATAATAAATTATAACGCGTAAGCTACTCGAGGAAGGAACTACTGAGGAAGGAAGGAAGGAAGACAAATCATATTATCAAATAAATAAATAAACAAAATTCAACTAATAGTAGTATCTCACTATTAATACATAAAACCAAATATGAATGCTAAATGAAGTTATTGTATGTGATATTTTAATTAATAATTTATTTACAAATTTTATTGGCAACAAAGTAAAATAATATCTTGCGATCTATATAGCCGATGATTATTATCATAAGTTGTTATAATATCTCATTAAAAGAAAGCTTATAAAATAGGAATTGATCTTATGATTTGAATTTGGTTATACCATAAAATACGAATTTGAGATCATAAGATTAAGCAAAAAGAAACAAAAATTAGTGAATTTTTAATTATGAAAAGGATATATTAATTTAATTAACAAACAAACACAAGATTTGTTAAATGAATTTACGGGCTGTAGGGTTTGACCCAAACATAAGCAAGTGTTCATAAGAATGGATCAGAGGTTTTTTTTTTCCACTCAATTTTTTGACATCTTCATATACTTAGTTATAGTTGTGATAAGTCGTAAGCCGTCACAGTCAATTTAAAAAAATCAATGAAAGATTTTTCTTCTTGCTTGTACGGCAAGGTAGCATGACTTGTTTTGCCCCAGTCTTCTGTTCACCTTTGTTTTTCAAAAAAAAAGGGGGGGGGGGCTAGAAATCTTCATTTTGAGAATGGATTCAATAACTTGAAAGACAAGATTTTTTTTTTGTATGTAAACAAAATAAAAATTTTCATTCAAATGCTGTTTTTTCTGTGTTCATGGAACAAGATCTTGGCAACCACTGTTTTGATGATTAAATATTGGGATCCTGTGAAGTTTGAATTTTTGCCTAAAGTACCAATGCTCTGCCTTATATATAAATTTTGGTTCTATGCATATAAATTATAAAGAAAGATAAACTCACAATACTACTTGTATGGTATTTTATTAATTTTGGGACGTTGTTTTGTATTCTAGTGTGGAAGTAGTTGGAACAGAAAACATGCCATGAACACAATAAAAAAATTATCATACAAGTGCGAAAGTAGGAAGAATGTGTATAGCTACTTTAAGTCTGAAAATAATAGAAAATTATTTGAAGAAGATAAAAAAAATAATTAATTAATAGAGTACAACAATGTCATGTAATCTATACTGGCTGTTGTATAAAATTTTAAAGGAGTAGATAGCTAGGAACTGTAAGATGAAAGAATTGAATTAGGGTTATGAAAGTGGTCATGAAGCGGAGTTGAACTGATGGGGTCAATGCGAACGAAAGCAGTGAATTTGTTCAATCAGTGTCCTTGAATGAAGGAAGCTCCATCAACGGTACTAATTGGTCAACGTCTCTTGCATAGATTTTCATTGGATCCTAATGCCTCATATTTCCCCTCCTAGCTGCTCAACACGGCCTATTTTCATGCTAAGATGAATTTCTTCCAAGTTCTATAGCTTGACATGTTCTTCCTACTCTGTGTGAAAAATATTTTATGAAATACTAATATTTTAGAAAAAAATTAATCTTTTTGTCCCTATAATCTTAACTTAGTTATAACTCAATTCTTAAACTTTATTTTGATGAGCTCAATACTTAAACTTTAACTCAATTGTTATAACTTAATCCCTGAGTATTGACTTAATAAAACTCAATCCTTATAGTTTAATCCTTTAATTACCTCTGGTCTTTAATATAAAAACTAGTTTAAGATTCAGTTGGGTCTTAATTATAAGATTATAATCTATCTTGTCTCCCATATTTCTTCATTTGTTTTCAAAGCGGCCCCTATGGTGATGGCACATGTTAAATATTCCATGAGAGAATACTTCTAATGCACATAATAAGAGTATTTTAGATAAAATAATACATATTGATTATAAATAAATAAACAAATATTTTAATATTCGTAAATTAGTTATCTAGTTTTTAAATTAAGGACCGGAGGAAGTATACTTTTATTTTTTTTCAAATACGGGGACTAAAATTAAAATGATTTATTATAGAGACTGAATTACAGGAAGTCAAAATTTGATAATCAAGTTATAATTAAGTCAAAATCATAGAGATTGAATTGCAATGAATTAAAATTTAAGCATTGAGTTACAATTAATTTAAAAATACAGGTATCAAAAGATTTATTTTCTCAAATATTTTACAATGAAGTTAGAACGAGATTAAAAACATGGAAAAAAATAACTTCAGTTTTGTGGCATCTAATCTCTTCATAATAACTCCTGTTTTGTGTAAATTTATTATTTATACGTCTTGCTTTAAGGAATTACTTCAAAATTCAAAGAGTGGTGGCTTCCCTATGACTGCCAGGTAGGTGATAGTAATATCATAGAGTGTAGCTACGATGTTTTTCGCTTTTTTTTCTCTTTTAAAAGGGTTATTCTTCTTATTAATAGCATAATGAAACAGGACTTACATTAAAATTATGGCTTAGAGAAGGAGCAACCATCTAAAGAGAAGCTGGTCCAAAAAAAAAAAACCATCTAAAGAGAAAGGCAAACCAATTTCAAAATGCTAAGATAATATTTGGATTGAATTTTTAAAATTTATTTTAAAATATGTGAAATAATTACGTAAAAATAATTTTATCTTAACATAAGAATATTTTTTATTTAAAGAAATTTACGTCAAAGTTGGAGATTTTGAAGCCTGCACAACATGGGTTTTCCAGTGTAGGCGAGTTGGGCTTAGACCAAAAGGTTTAGTTTAGTGCTGCATGAAAGAAAAAATAATTTACACAAGTGGCTGCCTCCTCATAAGTCATAACTTGTGTCAATTCCTTAAATAAAACTCCACAATTGATAAATTGTTGAGTGTCTTCCATCTTTTACATTAGACTCAAGCTAGCTTGAGTTCATCCAATCTTATTGCGTTAATCATAACCAATGCATACCACATTGACGCCACACATTAATTGCAGAAAATTTGACCTTTACAATAAGTTATATCTGTATTTTTCTTTGCTTTTGCAGTGCAGGCGAGTTGGGGTTAGTGGGAAGGAAACAAAGCTGTTTATGCCTCAAATAATATAATTTCGACTGTATAAATATATTTGAATAGAAACTTAATATATATTATGCCCACTCTATTTTTTTCTAATGATGAGAGAGAAATGTGATTAATACCTCGATATTTCTTTTAAAATTTCTAATGTGTTCCTATCTATCTATATTTACAAGTCATGGTTACAATACCTAAATTGTACAACAGATCCCTTTGTTTAGTTTATAATAAGGCTATCCTTCAGATGAAGATCTATCTCCATCAATGTGACGCAAAAACCTTAGGGGGGGGGGGGGAATATCCGGTCATCCGTTGTGGGCACCAAGTATGACATGCGACAACTTTCACAGTAATACAAGTTCACGAGTCGAATCAAAGAAAACCCACAAAAGTTCGAGTGAAAAAGATTAAGGGTATGTTTAGGTGACTCTCAAAACTATGGTTTGGGAGGTAAAACCATGGTTTGGGTGGAATGTCATCTAAATAGCATCAATTTTGATACCATAATCTGAAAACATGGTTTGGACTAAAACCATGGTTTTTGAACCATGGTTTTAGGAAAAGTGAATCTATTCTGCTTCAGGTTCAAATTAGAGAGTATGATTGTGCTTGTCAGAGTATATCTCAACAATAATATGACTTTAACATCCCTCAATTAATTTTTTTATAAACATATTAATCTTATATCTTATAAATATATATACACATATTAATTATTCATTAATTATAGTATCTTATGTATTATTAATTGTGTTGGTAAAAAATATATTATTAACATTTTTATTCCTTCAAATTAAAATATATCATAAAATCTATCTTTTATATAATTATCATATTAACTTATGTCTGTTTTAGTAATTTATATGTATAAAAGGTATTTCTGATAACAACTATCCAAATACTTTTACTTTTCAGAGTCACTTTTTTATAAAATCTATTCTTCACAGAACCTATTCTTCCCAGAATCTATTCTCCATAAGCTATTCTCCAAACTATGATTTAGTTTCATCTAAACACCCTCTAAAAAGCTTACATAACATGTCGGGCGTACTATTTTAGATCTCTCACCCAAAAAACATTCGAAGAGCATTTTTTGTTAAAACTTCAAAAGGCGAATGTTAGAGGTAAAAAAATTGAAAAGACGGGTATGCAGGAGCGCGCAGACACACACAGTAAGATTAACTGTTTGGTTTGTTAAATTCATTTTAGGACCCCCACTGATATTAGTATTATCCTAATGGTTATACAGAATCATCGCCTTCATTAGCAAGGAAAACTAACGCCGCTGTACGGAACCAAGGAAAAAATTACAGCTTTCTTGCCCACCAAACCCCCCCTCCCAATTTTAAGCCGGAACAATATCACCAACGTATGTGCTGTACAGATAACAAATCAACCCCAAACCAAAACCTTCCCCAGCAGATTATCTCATTGATGATGGGAAAAAACAATCATTCTGAACCACCCCATCTCAGGAAGATCCTTGAAGATCAAACCAAAACATATATCGGACATAGCCCAGTCAAACTGACCTCCCTTACCCTTACCAAAATGCAATGCTCTTGTCAAATCCTCCGGAGCTGTGAGATTCTCCGCTATAATTTGATCTTTCAGATCGTTTGTCTATGAGAGCTAACTACCTAGCAAACTCATTCTTGTCTCATGAGCGGAGATGAACTCACTTCCGTACTGAAAAATGATTCGTCCGCATTGATTTCGAATATGTCGTCATCCTTCTGTTCATTCCATTTGACGACCTCTCTTACATATTTGAAGGCTTCATCAACTGAGGCATGCTCCCAAGCTCGCGTATGCCACACGAACAACTTCTGGCCAGTTATGGCTGAATATAGCTCCTTGAATCTCACCGCCACGTAGTAAAATGCTTGGTGTGCCAGGGCATGATTATTGTGATGGGGTCTTACAGGACAGAAGTCTTGAAACCACTCACATGTTGATAAAGGAACTTTGTTTATCTTTTCCTCTAAGACATCATACTTATTGAGCAGAAGCACGAAAGGGGTATCTTTAAAACAAGGATTCCTCACCAGACTCTCGAAAAGATCTCGGCTTGCCAGCATTTTGTTGCAAAGATGGCCAGAACTGTTGGTCCACATTTGGTCATAATCACTCAGTGCAACACAGAATATCACTGCCCGCACATCTTCGAACATATCCAGCCATTTGCAACCATCTCGTAGGCCCTTTGAAGGAACTCGAATCAGTTGATACCTGAGCCGAAGAATAATTATCAGACATCACAAAATGAGTTCTCAAAAGCTTTAGCTTAATAAATGAAAAGGATTGTGCACTATGCACTGGGATGGAAGAAACAATTTTACCTGGTGAAGGGAGGACAATTTAAGTTTTCACTGTATGTTTCAGACATGGGACTTCTATCATCAAAAGAGAATTCCATGAAGGCAAGGCCGTTGCTTGGAGTGACTCCTTCGGCATATAATATATCCCTATCAGAAGGTTCATACTCATTGCTCGATATTTCTATTGCCTGCGCAGGATCAACGTCATATATGATTTTTTTTAATATATAATAAAGGCTAGCAAAGAGCTTGAGTAAAATGTCAATTACAAGACGAAAAACAAACAGGAAAATATTACATGAGACCGCATATGTCATCAAGATCCCAATACATTCATTTGGGATACCAGTCAAAAGGTAACTTCAGACACGATTAGTCATACAGATAGTACCCGCCTCGGTTTAACATTACAAGGCACTTTTAACTAACTCAAACTCATCAAGAAAAATTATTTATGTTCCTTGGTGTCCCAAAAATATTGCATTATTTCCAAATTTACCTTTCATTAGTTATAATTGGCCTTCTTAATGTCTAATCTCAATCATTAACAATTAAGGGTATTTTAAGTTGAACAATATTAAATACTCTTCGTTATCCGCGAAATATCTCATATGGGGAATCATAGATATCTCTAAATAGTGCCTTATAAACTAAAATGTAAGCATGTTTTAAAAAATTAACTAGATTCAATGCATGTCATGAGATATATTGGTCAACAAAATGCAAATAAGACCAGAAGAGACATATTATATTGGGGGTAAATCTCACTCAACTCCAATCAAACGAAGTTTAATAACATAATTATCTGATTTTAAAAAAGAAGGTCAAACTTTCATGTTGTCAGGCCAAAATTTGGATTTACCAGATTTAGGATTTATTCAAGATTATGAATTTAACATTTACAAAGCCTTTACGGCATGCTTTTAAAGATAATATAGTTCTCAAACTTGAGTCCATAAAGTTAGTATACGCCCCAAAAATTATGATATGTACCAGTGGTATGTTTATTAGACATGCACCATCATGTCTTACAGAAAATTGTCAAATGACAAACAGTAAATATTTAATGAGTCTGATATTAACGTACCCATGCATTTAATACATAAAAAAGCACTCGTACCATGGAAGCAAGACTACAACTTCAGAGACAATGTTTCCCATGTTCGAGATGTAATGAGAATACACTAGGTTAGGTGTGGACATGACAAAAGCTGTGTTACGTGACTCAATTTAACATCTATTATTTGACAGCAAAGCCTGCTTTAAAAGCTCAAGTTAAAGCTTATTGAGAGCGTAGCAATATAGTTTATTTGTATATAATATTACGCACATAAAAACTGCCCAATTGCATTGCCTCCTTGTAAGCAATCACCTCATCACCTTATTATATGCTAAAACAAATGAACAACCCATCAGATAGGTGATTCTAATTGGCCAATCACCATGAGCCTATAGGAATTGAAAAACTCTTTCGTTACTTCTGGAATGCTGCAATATAACCCATCAGCCCTTGAAGTTCTTTACCATGAAACCTAAAATCTCAGAACTACATTCTCAATTTACTTACATCCGTTTTTCATATCAGCTGTCATCCACTTCTTAAAAATATAAATGAGATGAAACAATAATTCAGAAAAACTCTGAACTAGTTGCATGGCATTAATCATTTAATCCAGAAAGGAAAAAAGTTAAAATTAAAAAGAGAACATTTTAGTGTGGTGATAATTTATTACTACTTTCCTAATATGTTAACTTTTGGAAAGTGACGTCAATTTATTTGGTATCTTCGTTAATAAAATAGCAAAAAAATGAGAGAGCAACAATCTGTTGGTAGAAAGAGAGAACAATAATTAATGAATGCATTAGAACAAGATAGATAACTATTTATTGAAGGCATACCCGATCCAAGAAATACTTAGCTACATCAGGAAGGTTATGCAATTCCTCTCTTCTCTTGTATGTCTCCTGAATTGCAGAGTCTCTCCAGATCTCATCTACCATAGGAGCATATTCACGTGTAGCAGCAGGGAAGAAAGCTTCCAAATCCCCAGTTGCCATGATATCCAACAACCAGTCAGAGAAATGCTTAAATCTCGGGCTGATTGAGTAAATGCACCTCTTATTTTCAACAGCTACTGTCTCTGCTGAAGTAATAACACTAAACCACCATAAGGTTTGCTCATAATTTTTTCACGAACATTAAGAAAAGATATTTTGACTTATCCACAAAATTCAAAAGAAATCAAGGAAGTACCAGAAGCATTAAAAATTGTCAATTAGAACCCACGTGGCTTAAAAAGCCAAATGACCCATGAGCACTGATACATTATAACATGATTGTTTTTCCTTGTTGCAAATAACTCACAAACAAGTCGTCTTGTTAAGAGAACAAATAAATTCTGGGCTAAACAAATGAACAAATTTAATGGTCTTATATACAACAACACTGACAGAGAAAAAAGTTCTATTCCAAAATTAACATTTTTCACCAACATAAGGAGCCAAATAGAAAACCTCTATGCCCTCTTTTTCCCCCCACCATAATCAATAAGTGTTCTCTAATTATTCCAATTTGAAAATAATCTAAGACAAATCATACATGGACAAATCAATTAGGGCATAATAAATGATGAACTGCAAAAGGTAAAAATCTTCAATCAAATGATACTAATGATGCTTCAACAAGGTAAGCCTAACATGCAAATGATGTATATATAAAAATCTTGTATCAAGTGATACTAATGATGCTTCGACAAGGTAAGCCTAACATGCTTTCTTAAGCATATACCTGACTATCAGAATTGCTGCCTGTTTTAGTCAAATGAACTGCTAACTCATGCTCAACTACAGAAATTGAGCAATTGATCCTTGATGAATATATTTGACAGTGGTAACTGGAACTTGTTAGAGACTATAATACAAAATTTTGTGAACATTCACTTGATGATTTAAACATTTTTGGGTATATCAGATGTTTGCTACTCCTGACTAATCTTGATTTGATGATTGTTAGGTTCAACTAAAGAGTGTCTCTTCCAACGTAATTTTTTTCATCCACAAGATTCAAACCCTTAATCTTGCTTAAGGGGTATCAAATCCGTTTTACTCGATCCAACCAACTAGTTCTTGACATAGTGTTAGGGCCTCAATTCCCAAGAATTTAATGTTCTGTTATTGCCAACCTCTTTCTCTTGTGAATCATTTTAAAGAATATACCTCAACATGCCTCCATTTATAAACATAAGATTTTGCATTCAATTAGCCCCCGATCGAACATTATACAAAAAATCAATTCATAGGGAGTAATTTTCTAGCCTCAGGCCAAGCTTAGTCAAGAGCCCATAACAGAGAACTGAGGAGGTCGAAAGTTAGCAACACAAGACATTATGATTGTAGCTACTAACTGCAGACGTATCTGCGTAATTAACCCAGTTGTCCAAGGAAGTTCACTCTATATCATGTACTCTCTCACTCTTCACCATTTAAAACATAGTCATGCCCAATTCTATACTGAAATGTCTTCCTACAATCCCACCAAATGTATTATGATATGAATTTTTTTTCTTGAAGTCCAGGGTGCACTATCTTTCTACATGCAAATAAATACACAGAAAATATTGTTTTACAGATAGCTTTGCTTCCATTGCGCATCAAATCTAGTACGGTTTACTTTAATCCAGATCTGCAACAAACTTGACTCAGCACAGTAAAAGTTTTTAATTTCTTTTCCCTGTGTTTTTCAATGGGCGTAACAGAAGACCAGCTATTAACATATTTGAGGTAACTGAATCAACAGACCGGGGAATAAGCTGTTCTGACATGTGAGTGCTTCCATAAATACTTGTTTTTTCTTGTCAAGACAAAGTTATGCATAAGACCAGAAGAACCAAGGAAAACAGCATCCATCAAAATATAGTAGTTTTATTAGAGCGAAGTAGCATATGAACAGACGGAAGGAAGGCAAGAAGAGTAAAATACAACCTGGCCCAGAACCCTCAACATCTAAAGTAGATTCTTTTTCTGCCAAAGCCTCCTCTTCGAATTGTTCTTGTCCTTCAAGGAGAATGCTGAGATACTTGTACATATTACTTTGTATCATGTGCTTGATGTTTTGCAGCTCTTCTTCACCAAAGCCACTGCTATATAAAAACTTGGCCTGTGCCATGGATAGGAGAAATATTCTCATAATAAGATCATAGAAAAATTAAAACGAGACACCATTATATGATTACACTAGCAAAGAAATAAAGAACATATATCAAAAGGCAAAAGGGAACTCATTGCAAGACACAAAAAATGAACTCGTGATGGTGCAAGCATGTCTGGAATGTTGTTTGAAATTGTTTGCAACTTTCGGCATCCTGTTTTCATCTAATTTGTGAGTCATAATTCTATGCAAACATCAATCCTTTCAAATTTCTGCAAGCATCACGTATGTACAAATTCAGACACAAATCTATCTATAAATCCATTGGGACATCAGTACATGATTCATGCACACATATCATGCGTACAAAACCAAATCACTGACACATACACACATATGTACGTGCATATATTTTGTTGAGAAACATATATACAGAAATGTTCAAGAGTTGATAATAAAGCAATACAAATATCATAATCCTTAAAAACATTATGAATCTAACATAGTATTGTCAACCACTGCTAAATATAATTGCTACTAAAGGCCTAAGTTCAAAGGGCCAATAAAAAATGCGAGAAAAGCCTAGACCAACAGAATAAAGTTAATACAAAAGGACGCACCAGCATGCAAGCAAGAATACAACACAAAAAAGCCGAAAACAGCCAGACATGCCTGCTTAAAGAGAGTGGATGTTCCTGATCCTTCCATGCCAAATAACAAAAGTTTCTGGACTCTTCCTTGATCCAAATACTCAGGCACAGACCTTGTTGAATAGTTAGTTGGATTCTCATTCAACCCATGAAAATTATTTGGCGGTACCGGCAATGAGAATAATGAAGAAAGGAAACGAGTAGATGCCTGCCTACCATAAAAGAAGCCACTACCATAAGACCAATACCTAAGATTACAATTAAACAAAAGAACAGGTGATTATCATGTTCAGATAAGAAAGAACCTTTCCCCAGATGTTCCCCTTAATATTATTTTGACCTTCTTCCTCATAAGAACCATCATCATAAACCCAGAAATGAGTGTCTCGAGGACACTGTACATTTGCCATCTGAAATGATAGCCAGATCAGGTACAAACAAATAGATAATAATAAAATTAATAATTTACCAACCCACTTACTGAAAAAAGAAAAGAAAAGAAAGAGAGCTAATTATAGTTAGATGAGCAATATGCCACATCTCAGAGCTTGAATGGTATCAAATCTGAACAATATGATATCCTGACAAAAAAAGGCCAGACAATATTTCAAGGCTTTGTGTTTAATACCTCATCTATTTGCACACATCTTATCAGTGTAAAAGTTCTTATCGTGTTTCTTTCAAGACAAACTTTCTGTGACATTGCAATGCAACCAAACACTATATTTTTGAAAGAAAAAGAGTATTGAAGCTAGATGCAAAAAGGAAAGGAAAGGAAACAAACATTTAAAATAGAAGAGCACTAAATAACTGTCAACTACCTACTGCGAAGAGTAGAGACCTTAGATACATGTTCTATAGAAATATCAACAATCCAAATTTTGATTTGATACAGATAAATACACATCATCATTTTGAGTGAAGATGCATTTACTCGCAAATGTAGCATCTTATTTAATATCTTCTCATCAAATTCTGACAATGTACAGCCTATAAGTGGTTGTAAAAAGCACTATTGGAGGGTTAAGCTCTTAGGAAGCTTGGGTTTTTGTTCATTTGCATGATGCCGTAGATCATATCTGAACACCAATAAATGACACATACACTAACAAGTTACTAAATTCAGTATCATACTGTATGTTGTATTTATGCGTTTTGCTGTATGTTTAGAGCTGAGTACAAGCAGATGCATGGAGAAACACAATTTACCTTCAACATCCTAAGCTCAATTTTTGTTATTTCACGACCATTCATAAAAACTCCAGTATTTCCTTTGCTAGCATCCATCTGGAGCTTACCTCCAATATTTAGTTTTGAACTTATTATCTTATCCGGCTTCTCTCCCTCCTGAAATTCATTACTTTCAAGTAAATACAAAAACGAAAACAACAAAAGCAAACTTCTATATGACCAGGAAAAAACAAAAGATACTTCCAAAGAAATGCTTGTATCTTCAAACCGAAAATTTCACCTTCCCCCAAAGTCCGGAATCCTTATCATACCAATACCTCCCAGGCTTTAGCTTCTGAGGAGGAATCGGACAACCCAAAATCTCCGCCAATTCTTCTTGCCTCAACTGCCTTCCATTAACGATAAGCTGCTCAGGTCGAAGTTGATTGGCCGCGCATTCCCTTTCCGCCTTCATTATCTGCTTAATCTCCAATGGACTACAAACTCTCGACAACATCCTCGAGCACTTACCCAAACTCGACCTCTTTGACTCGTCTATAGGCTGCCCAATGCAGCTCACGCACTTACGACCCTCTGGCATCGAGCCCATTGCCTTAAGCACACAATTACTACAATACCTTTTATCACACACCAAACACGCTTCCTTTTCCTTCAGCCGATTCCCTTTTCCACATCTGCTGCAAATCCATTTCTTTTTCGGCCCGACCTGCGAATTTCGAGCCGCAACCGGGGATCCCACTGGCTCGGTAGCCACGGAACGTGGCGACGAACACCCATCATCCTCTTCGTTCTCCGAATCCTTGGGCGTGTTAAATGTCACAATAGTAGGGCGCTTCACTTCAATCAGCCCATCAGCTTGAGGAGCTGAATTCGGAGCTCGTGGAGACGACACAGAACTAACCGCATCCTCGGTAATTCCACCTCCGGAATCCGAATTATCCTCACCCTCACCGTTCCGCAAATCCAATTGTGTTCCCGAAACCGAAGATGACCTTTGACTATCCACCGGACTACGCGACTCTTTACTAGGAGTACCGTTCCTGAAGCGATTAAACCTGGAGAACCTCTGATTTATCGGCATGGCCACCGGAATCGAAGTGCTGTCGGAAACCGAAGCCACAGAATCAGCACGAGCCGGAGCCGACGCAATATCCAACGGATCAACCCTGGGAACCTCATAAGGAACAGGAGGGCCCTCGTATTCCACCGCAATTGAATAATCGAGATGCTCTTCGTCAGGTAGGGGTGCACCAGCTGGTAGCATCCTCCGGAGGACCTCCTCCCAAGTTTTGTCTTCTTCTGCGGAGGCTGTTTCTGACGCCATTTGGCTCTGCAGAAGAAGCCGAGGAGGTTTGTCTGTGTTGTTTGGCTGGTGGGAAAGCTCGAGAAAACGGGAAAGAAAATAACCAGAAGAAAAAGAGAAGAAAATTCAAAAAGAGCGAGCACGAGTGAGTATCAAATTGAAAGGTCTCATCTCAGAGAAGGCGAGCGAGAGGCTGCCTGGGCGTGCTGTGAGTTGTCAGCCGCAGTCGAGAGAGTTGGCAGAGAGTAAACGGAGTAACTAACGGCAGCCGTCGCCAAGGCCGGACGATTCCGTTACATTTGACGTCATCATGACACCTCCACCCAATTCAAGTTCTGGATTATCAATTATTATTCAAGCACTTTCTTTAACATATTTCCAAAGTGTGCGTAACTTTTGCGTGCCTATTCGTAAATATCACTTCGTTAAACCCTCGTTTGGGAAATATGGCAAATTTTACCATACTTTAAAGCCCTCTTCCATTGAAAAAGATCATGTTTGACAAAATTATTTAATTAATTAATGCTTGTTTTTATTAGTACTACTGTATTTATACGTGGATCATAAAAGATAATGTTTTGTCCTTAAATTACTTAAAATGGTATATGTTTGTCTTCATTTTTCTCAGCTGACGGCTAGCTTACCCTCCTTTTCTCTCTTTTTCTATTACTACTAAATTTACCTTCAGCGTTTACTAGACATTTAGTATGTAAATTTACTTTCAGTAATATCAAGTTATTGGTACTGTTTTGGTACCATGCAAATGGAGGGAATAAAAGGAAAAGGAAATTTTAAATAAGTTCTACTTAAAAAATTGAAAAAGTGGAGTTTTGAAATTTTAATAAAGAAAAAAAGTAATAAAAAATTAAAAAAATTAATTAAAAACTTTTAATCCTACTTTTTAAATTTTTTAAATTGAACTTATTAAAATTTTTCCTTTTCTCCCTTCCTCTCGATTTTCTCTCATACTGTATGGATCCTAAAACTCTTCACAACCATTATTGATCAAAATGTTAGAGAATTGGCCCAGTCATCCACTACCCTATGTTGCATTTAAAAAATTACTTTAGTCAAATTTTTATATATATTTATAATTAAATAGTATAAAATGTTAATATTTTAAAAAATAAAACACATTGAAAAACTTGACATAATAAATACAAAAAAACTTGGTATAAGTATTTTCCATTTCATTTCCTATACCAAATTTAAGTCCCAATAGTATGCCACAAATAAAGACCTTGTGTTAAAATTTAAAACATGTTGGTATTTTATTTTCTAAAAATGGCTGATATCCAATTTATTAATCAGATTTAATTAAAGTAACTTTTTTAAATTAATTTTCGGCAATAATATTGGAAACTTCAGTTTTACTTATATAAGATAGTCACTTCACAATCCAATTAATATTAGCATATAATAGTTATTTTTTGTGGGGAAAATATATATGCAGGTGCCTTAATTAAGTTTCAACCCCTTATATGTATAAGAATAATTCAACAACAAACAGCTATTTTTTTTTATTTTTTTAAAATCTTCATAAGAAAGCTCCTTTAGAAATTTAATGGGGTTTATTGACTTTTCAAACCTGACCCCACCTTTAAAGGTTGGATGCTTTTTATTGAACGGAAAACAAAGATTAGAGTCCTTTTTTCGTCAATCCTTAATAGAAAAGAATTAAAGAGAGTTGTTATTCCAAAGCTATCGTGCTGAGATATGGTGTCCTTTTTGTAATATCATCTTACAACTATTTCCCACCTGCTTTTAGTAGATTTAAAACTCACTTTGCATATATAACTAGGGTAATTAAAATTATTTGAAAAAGAAATAACAAAAAAAGACTTATTTATTTTGACAAATGAATGACAAATTTATAAGAAATCTACAGTGGCAACAGAATTTTTTGTTATGATAATAAGGAAAGTTAAAAAATTTTAATTGTAATTTTAATAAGACCGGGTTAAATCATGGTTTAACTAAATTAGGGATCACATTTTACATTAGCAATGTAATTGTATTATATAGCTATTAATTACTTACTACCTCCTCCGTCCTAATTATAAGAACCAGTTGACTAATTTGAGGAGATTAAGAAAATAAGTTGAGTTAGTTATTTGTCCTAAATTAATGTTGTCTTTCCTAAAATATTTTTGCTAATCAAGCGTATTAACTAGAACTATCATTGTTAGAAGGGCTACTTTGAAAAAAAATATATAAATATAAGAGACAAAATAGATTAGGTTCTTATATTTATGACCAAAATAAAAATCAAACAGAGCCTTATATTACGGACCGAAGATAGTATTTGGTTTGATGTATTTTAAATAATCTTTCAATGCCAGTGACATTCTCTAGTTATGACACATATTTTTTCACAAATGGTTCGTCCTGTAATTTATTTTTATTTAAAATGTTAACCATTTAAATATGGAATTGTTTTTATATTTGTATCATGACAGTAGAAATGATAATATTAACTTTTTAGGGAACATCCGTCGTATAAAAGTTTAATTGCATTGATAGAAGGTGGGGCATAAATTTTAAAGTGAAAAATGAAAAAAAAAAGCTAGGAATATCTTAGTCGATTTTTTTTTTTATAAAAAAAGTAGTACTACATAAATAGATTTGGAAAGGATATATATGTCTTGCATACACTTTTTTCATAGGTAGACTTCCAAAAAAAAATGAAGTTGTGGTTGTGTCACGATCGTAGTTGATGTGTGTAGATGCCAGCTTGTGATGAAAAAGGGATTAGGTGATCTTTTTCTTCGCTTCTACTATTGTTTATTAATGTTTTTTCAAATGAGTTTTTGTGCTTTTTTTTTTTCCTTAATTACTCTCATCATTTTTGTAAGTAGGTCGGTTTTAGTTACCAGATCTTACTTAGTATTCTATCCTATCCCAAATATAGAAATTATTAATTAACTGGTTCGTATAAATCAAATATATTAAATAAGTGAGTTATTTTTTTAAAAAAATATGTGTTAATTTTTTAAATACCCCTCTTTTAATAAGTCAAAATTAAGTAGTGTCAACATACTTTGCACATAATGCATGAATCTAACTGTAGTGAATGCTCGAAACAGAATAATAAATACCGGACGCAAATGAGATTAACCTCTTACATTTATAATTAAAATATTTTTTGCCAACTTATACCCAAAATAAATATCTCTATGCTAACTTTTATATTTAAAATTGGAGTATTTAATTATCAAGTTGCTATTATCTTTGTTGTAATTTGTTCCCAGATGTAAATACTCTTTGCTTTAGCCCTTAGGTGTCAGATTTCAAAACTGGAGTTGACGTTTGCAAAAGTCAACGGATAAGGGAGTTGGTTGTAATTAATTTATATTATTATATATGAGGCCGAGGTAGTATATTGTAAACGTAACAGACCAAAAATTATTAATTCATATTACACCAAAAAAATTATTAGTTCATAATATAGTGGCATTGTCACCAAAAGGAAAAAAAAATCACAAAATTTTTTAATTTGATCCTTTAATTTAAGAATAAATAATATATTGAGGCGAACAAAACAAGTATGTATGGACTAATACTACCAAGTAAATAGATAACGTCAAATTATTAATCCTGTGATTAAAACAAAACTATCTGCCAAAAATAAATAAATATAAACAAGCTCTAAAAAATTCATATTTACAAATCAAATTTGCATATTAGCAAATAAAACTCACATATTTACGTGTTAAATAAAAAAAACTCTAAATCCAAATGAAATAATATTAAAATTCTTCCCCTTCTTCCTCCCCTGAAACAGACGGAACCTAAAAGAAACTATAAACCGAACATAGTTGAAGGTCAAAGCTAGGGGTAAAGTGTTTGGGAAAGTGGAACCTAGTGAGATCAAAAGTGAGAGCGATCAAAGATCATGGTTCCACTGTAGTATAATAAGGGCCGTCAAGTCATCGTATGTATCAATCATCAAAAGATTTCATATGTCCTATCTGAATTCATTATGTAAGTAACTTTGATTAATTTATTACAATCAAGAAATAGTACTTAATTCATTAAATTTATCGCTAATTAATTTTTTTTTAAAACTTTACCATATTAAACTAGGTTGTGAATAAAAATATAATAAATCACATTCATAATCACAAAATAAGTCAACCTGCCAAGCTCTCTTTCTATTAAGAAGACTTAAAACTTGCTTAAAATGACAATAGAAGTTTTTAAATTTAAATCGTAATTTACAAAATAAAAAATAAATATGTGATGAGAGTTCGTAAACATATTTACAAGCACTTTTTGTAAATAACTCCAATCAAACTCTTAATTTGACGAGACTTCCTTTAATATCGTATAGCTTTAATTATTTTTAATTAGTCAATGTGGGATTCTCTGAGATCTAATAACCATAACCAAGTGAAGCCATGCTAATTAATTGGACTTACTTTCTTGCACTCCCAAGATTGAAAACGTGCGTAACGTCAGTAACTGTGTGTACAATTGTTTAAAAACGGAGGACGGTTGTTTTTATGGAATGCTCTTATGGTCGCGTTAGTACTGCAAAAAAGAGTTGACCTTTGACGGTTGCCTTGCCTTTACACATGGGAACCGCTTTGCTCGCATCTTCATGTGCGCACATAACCGTCCCGGGTGCAGCCGCCCCCGGCTTCACTTGCCCCCACCTGCACAAAAGGTAATTCCTCCCCCACTGAAAAATTCTAGAAGCTTTATCACCCAAAAAAGCGAAACAAAAACAAAAGCTAGAAACTTGTGCTCTGTCAATTCCTGAATTTTTTTAGAAGAGAAATTGCTACAAAACAAAGTAAATAATGACTAAAAAGTTTCAATAAGAAGTAATCAATTTGTTGTTATTTTTTGCATGGTAACTCGTTATTCACTAATTAAGAGATTTTTTTTAGTAATTATCTTTTTTTATCAGGTTACATAGTAATTTTTCTGATTTTTTAGAACATCAAATGCTACTTGCTAGACACCATTTATTTTGAACCTTGGAGTTTTTTTTTTTGCTAAGTATAAATATTTTTTTATTGGAAGAAATTCTATTCGAGACACTATCAGGTACTAAATATGAACACCTCTTCTAGTGAAAATCTGGGCCTTGGTTTGTCATATTGTGAGAGATTAATCCGTTTCACTAAACCCAATCTTTGTTGGTAGCCTTGGAGATTTTAAATGATCTCGGTTAAAATTAATGAAAAA